TTTCGCTCTTTGTATCTCTACATCGCGAATGACAACAATGCCGCGAAATTAAACGCAACGCCGCTCCTGACTTGATACCCGGAGATTGAAACCATTATAATTCCAGTGAATTCAGATTTCGATTGTACAGACACACCAAAGTGAACTCAATGCTTGTTCCTAGCCCAATGCTTGACAATTGGCGTAGAGTGCTCAACGTTTTTAGCACATTTACAGAACAGCTATAAATTCGCGTACGTATTCTACTCGTAATCAGTGAAATTCTTTTGCGAATTAAACAATTTTTCTTTCAGGGAAATGTTAAGATGCAAATAATTTTTAGCAGTTTAACGGAGTTATTACAAACAAAATCGCACGAAGGCGACATTCCTCTTCGAGAAAAATTTTACTCAAAATAAATAATACATTATATAACTATATTATGAGCCGATTGTTCCATCTTCAGATATACTATGTGATAATTTATCTATAATGGATAAGCAAAAGCATAAGAGCATAAGAGAGTAAGTTGAAGTTTATCGAAAGGTAGAACAATCCAGCATATATTGAATAAAATTTTCTTCAGAGAGAGGACGTTTTGGAGTGTAGCTTAGCATTATACCACAAACAAAAAAAGTTGAACATCGAATCAATTATATTCGGAAACATAAATAGCACAATATGAAATTCGGATATTTTTGACGATATAACACATTAATTAAAGATTATTATCTGAGAAAAAATGTATAAAACGCTGATTACGACAGTAAACAGCTGTGTTTAATTTAAAGCGAGGTATAGCATATCATTAACTGGTATTTAAGATAAAGATAAAACGCGCAGAAACGTCTGTGTAATTCTGACATCTAATACATATTGTACATATACTCTCACTTCCTTTTTATTATTTCGTTTTTCTGATGGAAAAATGTTCTATTCTCCACATATTTCATCGTTATTCTTACACATATTGATATAATTTTTTTTTAAATTACTATTGATTCATTTTTAAGTTTTTACATCGTGCAATGAACATAATTTTTATTCCTTCTCTCAAACAATGTGTTCAAATTTATTTACGATTTTCCTTCTCTCCGTTATCTTTATGTTTAACTAAATAGCGCACATGGGCAAAAATTACCAACAGATTCATCAATGAAATTCATTCATGAATTTCTTGGTTACCTTTGATCTTTAGATAACCATATATTGTGAAATCAGACCATAGAGTAAGTGTTTCAGCACATTTTTACAACGTTCAATTCCTAACCAATGAGCTAAGGAATGTAATAGTTCCATTATTTCATTTTTTATTTCTGAATATGCAGATTTTTTTCATTACTACTCAATTGTACAGATCGTTTCCAACACTGAGCCCGTCAAAACTCATTAGTTTTTGTTACGTAACTTCAAATTACACGTAGTCTCAATAAAAAACGCGAACAAGTGTTTTCTTGTTCAAAAAGGTCACGGCTTGCACAATTATATTTCTCTTTTTAAAATAATCGATTATAATAACACTAGAGTCTCTCAGAAGCTCTAATATGATAATCGTAAAACAGTCTATTTAGGAAAATAATATTTTCGATACTCTGGCATTATTACTATATTTACGGCGTTATTACTATATTTACGAAAATAAAAATACATAAGTCGTCGCGCAATTGCGTAAGTGCGTCCTATCCGTACACGGGCACGTGTCGTCGCGAGCAAATAGACAGTGTGCACTTGCCGCTACCTTGGTACCACGTGTTAACCAGGCTAACCGAGATAATCACTCATTACGAGCGTTTAGCGTGGCCGGGTACCGAGGTCTAGCGTCACCGATCTCGGCATGGTCGGTTTTCCCATTGGTCGCCGGTAACGTGGAAATAACGCGTACCGCAAACACGCGAACGGTCGTTCTGGTTAGTACCGCGATCTATTTCGTTCTTTCCTTTTTGTGCGCGCCGAGAAGGAAATTGCATCTGCTTTTCCACTGTGTGAATTCCCATATATTCCATACGGAAGAGAATCAGAGGGATCAAAGTGGCGTATAAATCGTGACGATTTGCGGTGGGAATTTTGTTTGGTGAAAATAGATATTAAAAATTAACATGTGTAATACACATAAACTAGCATTGTAATGAAATTATAAGCAATAAAAATAGTTAAAATATAATATAAGGTTGCAATTCCTTCACACTGTAGTTTGGAACTTTGAGAAAGAATATTTTGAGAATTACCGCTACACTGATTCGAAACTAATGATTTAAAAATGATATTTAATGATTTATCAACAACCAAATTAGAGACAATATTCCTTATCATACTGCTTGGTCAACACTATTACGTTAAATTTGTCTGTGCGTGTCTATGTATTTACTTAATACACGTCGAGAGAGATAGGGGATGTCATACCATGTCTTGCCTAATTACTAATTAACAGCGTATTCGCGTGAATAAGCAAAGGACCTGAAATTAGCATAATTAATTTGGGACTGAAATATTCTTTTCTTGCATCATTTTAAACTTATACATCAACGACAGCGCATGCAAGAAGACAACGACAATGATATTTTTTATAATTATTTAGTTTTAAACTTTTATATTAAAAAGCTGAGGATATCTTTGAACATTGAAAATTCAATCACAGAATATTAAGTCACGATTGTGATTTCATAATCTTTATTTTATTTATTTCAAACTTATTCAAAACTAAACTATCCTAGTTTAATAATGTTCGTTTCCATCAATGTAGACTTTAATCTCGATTCAACTTACTTTTCATTTTTTTTCTAATCTTTAGAACTAGAAAAAGATCAGGATGAAGAATAAGTTGAATCGAGATTAAAGTCTACATTGATGGAGAATAAGTTGAATCGAGATTAAAGTTAGTCTATATTGGTGGAAATGGGCATAACAGACTCACTACTTAATTCAAACAATCGAATATATCTTTTCAGAGATAATATCTACAGTAAAAGAAAATAGACACAATTAAAATGTTCATATATTGATAAACATTTACAAATCTATATCAATCAAACATCTATAAAATATGACGCTCATCCGCCACGCCGTTAAGCCCTATTGATCCGTTATTAATTGTTCAACGGGATTATCTGCGGCGATCATTAACGACTCGTTAAATCTATCGCATATTTCACGTATGTTTGATGTCGTATGTTTGATGTCGTACTATCGATTTCACGTAATCGCCTATCAAGCGCAAACGAACTTTAAAAATTAGGATGTAATGCTGGAAATTGCGAGACTACAGAGCAATCAGTCGAATTATCGTCCAATTGAATCACCAGTGAATCGAGAGAAAGACGTACTATTATGATCGAAACAGTTAAATGAAGAATATGAAATACTTTTATTTCTTTTATCGAAATACTTTACATAAAAAATTATTCTCTGATTATATAACAGGAATACTTCTTTCCTTAAAGATCATTAATGCGATAAATTGTCCATTTATTCTTAAGAAATTTTTAAATATATTTTTAATATTGAATTAATTAGATTCAAGAATTAAGTTCAAAATTGCAGAGCTACCTCGGAAAACTTTTAGCTAAAGATACTAATTATTCCATAATTTTTAGTCTACGTAGTCAATTTTTGATCAAGTTATTAACAATATATTAATAACAAACACTCCCATATTAATATATTTATTATTAATAATGAAAATTGATAATGTCAGTAAACATTATTTTTTGAACCTAGAAGAGATCAATTTAAACACAAAACAATTCGTTAATAAATAATTGCGCAATAATGAGATCATTTTAGTAAATTGGAAATGAAAGAATTATAATTAATTATTATTAATTCTCTCTGTTCCTCTCATCGGATGCAAAAGAGGCAATCATAGCAGAACAAATCATGTGCCACATAGGCCAGACTCCGATCTCGAGCGTCTCCAACATTGTGCGCGCGAATCCGCGTGAGCCTACTTGTGGCGTACGTGGCCGCGTTCGCATATGGTCGCGGAAGGTCGAGTGACGTGGTCCCCAGTCCCGGCTGCGCAAATATTGATCGAGGTGTCGCCGTGACGAAAAATTCCACCGAACGGGAATAAAATGTCCGCGACGTCGCGGAAGATGGCGCGAAGCGTGACTTTGGAACGAAGTCTGTCGCTTTGACTTGAAGTCAAAATAATCGGCACAAATGTGATCAAAGTGATGCTAAAATTATGATTGACGCATCGTAAAACATGCGGGATGATTTTTCATTTCATTTGAATAACGATGTTATCGCACATATGTAATTCTTCTTAAAGAGTACTTACTGTTGATCGACCACCTGATGTAAACTTTTCAATTTTATACAATATTTCATTTTAGTTGCAAAAGTTCCCATCATTTAAATATAAAAATTTTAATTTTGTCATGTTTTTTACTAAATACTTCTTTTTATTTTTATTCTTTATATCAAAATTTAATTTTAGTTACATAATTATAATTGCATACTGCAATTATAATTAATTTATAGATAGCAGAATATACGTTTTTATTTTTAATCAAAAAATAAAACTCAGCTTTATACATCACATTAATTATGTTTATATTTTGTGTCGTGCAATTTTATTTAAATGCTGAGTAAAATAAAAATCTTGATAACGCAGTATCTCTTTCTCCCTCTCTAGAATTACATACATGATAAAATATTCGAATTACGGATGTCATTTTAACCCTCAAAATATGTCAAAGAGTTAACGAAACTTTCCCTCTCTCATCCTCTTGTAATGGAGAACTCTAATTCGTGATTTACACTTCTAATTCTTTTTTAAACTCGTAATTCTTTTTATTTAACTTTCCAAATTGCAATTATATAATTAGAACGGCAATGATAAATATATAAAAAATAGCACATTTTTTCCAAAATATTTTTTGTTGAAAATATTTTAAAAAATTGCTTTTTACTATCGCCTCTTCAAGACTTAATTTATTATATCTATTATACATTTTTATTATGTCACTCTTTTGTTAGTTCTTTTGAAATCTTTCACTCTTGCAATAATCTATCGTTTCAATCATACGTATTTATCAATCTTATACAAACTCGCCGCATATTGACATCAATTTTAAGACCGGAAGTAACACGTCTGATTGCCGGTCACCCTCGGGCGACATCAAGCAAGTCGGTTTATCAGATCGTCTCTATTGTCGTATCTGTCTATCGGCGGGTATATATTAGATAATAGAAACGACGGCAAATTTACTACCCCCTTTGCCACCCGCTGCGGCTCCGTCGAGGAACAGGTGGCAAGCGCGCAGCGTGAGGTAAGCACGCGCCCAAAGCCGTGCCCCCTCTAAAAGAACCGCGGTATACAACACCATCGGGACACTACGGGGCCACAGCTGGGTACCGTGTAAATGCTCGGCTACTCACCCTTCGAGCTTCTCAACATCCCCTGTATGGGCACACTCGAAAAAAGACACGCAACCCCTGCGGCGAGCACAGCCTCAGGATACCGCCGGAAGACTTTTGTGGGATCTTGACGCGTTTGCTAGGGTTTATGGGGATCCACCATGGGGGTGTTACCGGCATGAGGTGTGTTGGACAGTTGACGTCTTATGATTATTTGAAGACCTGATTACACAGAGAAGATATAAGTTAATTTTCAAAAAAATTTTTTGCTTCCAAAAACAACGCAATATATTGAAGACTATGTTATACATAAATAATAATATTATAATTAATTGTGTACTGAAATGTTTATTACGAGTATACGTACAATAAATAATATTTTCATTTACATTATTATACATATATACACTGTATGATATACGAATTAATTATAAATTTTAAAGTTCAGAAAGTTTACAGATATTATTCAAGTAAATAGCACGTCGTCGGATAAAGCTACGTAAAATATTTGTCTACTAAAGATCGAGACACCATTTTTGCAGCTTCAATCGTCTTTTACCCGACCCGCAATTTAAATCTGAATGTACGCGATGTGCAAACACGCGCGATATTATTTGCGCGGTATATATTTTCGGAAACTGTGTAATTGTTTCGCATTTCCACGCTCTCTGTAGATACATGTTTTGTACATATTTACACATTTACATTGTAATTACTCACCACGCAGGGCGGCCGCCTGGAGTGAGGGGAGGGGTCTTTAAACATTAAAAGAATATTTGCCAGGCAAATGCTGATAAATCATTGTGCGTAATGCAGTGCAATCTTAATAATTCGAACCGTTAAATGAAGATTGTTGAACACATAGCGACAATATTTTGAATCAACAGAGAGTGGGTGTGCGAAATCGTAGTCGACGTGCACATGCAAATATACACAATGTACAACGATAATGACGTGCTTACGTGTGTACTTGCAATGTGCAAGGTTAAATGTAATATTGCCATAGAAACACCGAGAAACATGTAGTTGGAAAATTATCGAATGTAATCGGAACGAAACGTCGGATTAAAGTTGATCGCGAGATTAACCTTTTCAATACGTATCTCTCTGTTTGATAACGCTGTTGCCTCAATTAATATTTACAAATTTGTTTACGCATTTGCATGTATTATGGAACTGAAAATTTTTTAGTTCCTGGAAATATTCCCTGAAGTATTATGAATTTATTTGCGCACATGCAAATAAAGAAGATACTTGTGTAAATATTTGTACTACGTGTGTATAGCAGCAAATTTATAGTTTTTCTTAACGTAACATTTTTCAAATAAATAATGTTGTGGATAAAAATAAAATATTGTCTTTATAGTACATTATCTAATCCCAACTATTTAGAAATTTTATCTTTTCATAATGAAGACTTTAAATACAATCTTTTATCGCGCACTTTCCGAACGTTTAATATAATAATTTGAATTAAAATCAATCTCAAATTAAATAAAGAATAATGTTCTGTTATTGATATATATATTTATAAATTTATTAAAAAGACTGTATAACTTCTTTAATCCCCCAAAAAATTCGGAAACTCGAATTTTTATTTTAAATAACGGAAAATGTGAGATCTAAGATATAGATATCTTATAAACATTCTTTAGACATTGTTACGGCATTGCCAAGTTAAACGTATAATTACGAATCGCACCTGTACCATACTCTAAACACCATTTCGCATTAGCGCAATCACTGATAATTGTATGGTTGAGAAATTTCAAATCTGTACCGCCGCGGAATAGGTGCAGGCCCGGCTACGATGTTAATCGCATTAGTGCAACGATAAATCAGATAATTAGTGGCCGTTAAGCGCATCGTAAATCGGCATTATCAGAAACGGGTGACGCCGTTTTGACATAGCGCCACGTTTGTTTGGTCGACGCGTTGCGGCGAAGCAGTCTGTGTACTTAACAAATCTTGTGATCACCGAAATGTTGATCGTTTATCAACTATTATCCTGCCAACAACAATGTTATCAGCATCATAGCGTTTCGTGATGATGTTATTAAAAAAAATGCTCAATGAACTCTTCCACTCATTCCAATTTTCACTTCATATTATACTCATAAAACATAAAAATTTCTATGACAAAAAATTAAAATCATAAAAATATTGAAGACGTAAAAAGATATTTTATACGTTTGTTGCATAGAACAATTCTACGTTCGGATCTCGACGTGGTTTCCTCAACTGGAATTATTTTAATGAACACGCAAACATTAGAGAATCGGAAAGAACAGTTAAAAATACAGAAAGAACAGTTTTGCTGAAGTATCTAAAAATTTAGATATATAAATCTACAAATAACGTTGTTAAACTATTAAAATAATTATGTAGGATGTTCAAACTAATTGCTCATCATACTAAAATTTCCTACATAATTACTTTGATGAATCAACAAAATTGTTTTCAGATCTATATCTGGCTAAATTTTAAATATTTCAGCAGAATCATTCTTTCCGTGTAGCGATTACCTACACCGGGCAAACATGTTAATTCTGATAATTATCAAAATAATACATCGAAAAAATAATTCATTTAACTTTTTGGCTCAATATATGCAATTTTAAATAAACAATATCGCTTTAAGAATGCACGTCATGTATTTCATAGCTTGAAATGTTCCCACGCGCAATCCATGCATTTAACAAGTCATTCTCACGTTTCGCTCATGCCCGAAAAAGCAATCGCCGTCAAGTAGAGCAAAGTTAATCGCAACACGGCACTAGCCGATGTAAACTATCCTTCGATGATACTTCTCTAAGTCCTACGATATTGCGAACCAATTCCCTGAGGCGACCGACCTGTCCCCCATCATTCTCACAATTTCCCATACGCTTTATGCTGGCACGGTCCTTTATGGGATCCTCGCTAGGGTCGAAACACTTCCATAATCGATAAAACTGTCTCTCAAGCTTGCAGTTCTTGTCCACAAATCAGTAACGCATTTAATTCTATGCCGCATCTCTTTTTTTATCGTGGATCAAAAAGTTCGGACTAATCCTGATTTAAATTTAACCCCAAATTAAATATTTGTCGTTTCTTTATAATATTATTAACATTATTTTGAGTATTCAATATTTATAGATTTAAATTTAGTATATATTTTTTAATTCTGATTTAGAAATATATTGTGACTTTTAGGAAATGTGTTAAGCAATATAAATTACATTATTAAATATTTAGAGTAAACCGAGATAGTAAGAGCGTCAAATTTATCGAAAATAGATTTTACAAAGTTTCTGCAAAATTTTGTCAGCAGAATACCAATAGAAATGTAACAAAATCTACTAACCAGAATATCTATTAACCAGAAATCTATTGCCAGATTGATTGAAGAAATTAACACAATCTCTGCCACTCTACTCAGTTTCTGCTAGCAATGTTATTTATGTCATATTGATAAAATATGTGAGTTTAATCCTTTCACTGTCTAGCTGGTTTTTATTGATCAAATAAGAAATAGACTTTATATTGAAATAAGTATTAGTTTGTAAAATATTTAAAATAGTATACACAACTTAAGTGTTGAAAGTCTCAAAAAATATATATGTGGCACATCGTCACACCTGATACACGTGCATCCTAAAAATAGAGCTCATGTATCATATATGATATACAGGCGTCTGATATTACACCACTGTATATATGATACATATAGAACAATGAATGAGTTAATACTGACACAATTGATGTCAATCTGCTATAGTATTCTGTTTGAATTTGTCGGCAAATGGCTAGCATATCGCGAACATTTTGCTTGACCATGAACACAATTATTTAACTAAATTCCTAATGTATTAATTTGCCTGAAGGAGGATAATTGTAAATCAAAATTCATCGCGAATTGAATAAACTAATACCGAACAAAACAATCGGACAACAACTCCACAGTCATCGACATGCATATTCTAGTCGGTAAAGGAATCATAATTAATCACATCACATTTAATATATAAATAACGATTATTCCTCGATTAAGTAGATAAATTTTAAAAAGAAGTGCTTTATTTAATCCTTATAAAATATAATTGGGTTATTCGTGTCCTCAGCATTTAATTTTTTTGTAGAAATACTTATAGGAGCGCCAAGTAATTAATTAATTTTTTTAGTACATCTCATAAATACTTTCTAAACATCTTTCATTATAAGTCATAATCAAAAGTGTAATTTTTGCGTTGCAATCTCACGAGTCCATTAGTTTATTTTAAACATGTTAAAATATATACATATATATATATGGTATATATTTTCTTATAATTTTCTCTTATATATATTTTATATACACATAAAATATATGTATAAATCATTTAATAATTTTTATATACTTGTATCTAAAAATAATGAAAATTATCCCAGGACGAACAACTTATTATGTGTAATAAAGAGCCAGAAAATCATTATGTACTAAAAATTAAGTAATATGCGACAATAGTCCACTGGGAATAATTCACTTGCATACTGTTGCAACTGTCAATCACAGCGACTTCTGAATTCTTGTTATTTTTTTTTCTAGCGCTGTGATTAGCTTGTGCGTAATTGATTCGTGTGCAATTGATATACACCCTAATCTATTTATCGGAATTAATTGAAGAGCAGAATATTCGGCGAGTATCTGCTTTGTAACAATTGCAACGCGTTACGCACGTGTATTTCACTAGTACGCGGCAGTTGGCATTCGGCGTTCGTTTTACGTATGGTATATGTACGTCATCTTATACTCGCGTGATCGCGACTCGCGGGGGAGGGGCGAGGGCGGCAGATGGAAAACCTACGTCGTTCCGAGCGTCATCGCATCATTATTTTTCGCGACGCAATCGCGACAGGTACTTATCGAGGAAGAGGCGCGACGGTTTTTTACGAGCAATTAACTATTATCAGACTGCGGTTTCTTAACTTTTACGATAACCAATTCGTAAGACGTAGCGAGATGACGAATATTTGACACAGCGACGAATATTTGTCCAATATCTTGCTTCGTTCTATCGATTTGCTCGAAGCAAAAATTGAAACAACAAAAAACTATGGAAATTATATATTATTAAGTATATACAGATTTAAACAATTAATTATAATATTTATATACTATTTTTTTTAATATACAACCTTACATTACTTTCTAAAGATGTTAAAGTACTCTCTAAAACTTTTAATCTTACTCTAAAAAATAAAATCTTACTTAAAGATTGACAATTAAGCAACTCTTTTTCAAGACTATTCAATTTTCACTTTTTAGAATGAGATTCCATTCCAAAGAATTTAGAGAGTATATATAAGAATCACACATTTAATAATTTTTGTGAACTTGTAAAAGTAATAAAAATTAACCTGAAACACGAACGATTCAGCGTGTGTAATAAAAGATCGGAGAATCATCGTGCGTGCTAAGAGTTGAGTGATATGCGACAGTCCACTTACCGAAATTATTAAAATTGAAGAGCAGAGATTCGGCGGGCATCCATTTTGTAACGCACTATTTCGCTACCGCGCAACACTCGGCGTTCACTTCGCGAGAAACGTGTTACGTCACGCGTAGGTCACCTTGGGTGCGTTCCGATATTCACTGACAGTGCTGAAAATCTACCGAATATCGTACGTAACGTATACTGTGTAGTTTCAGCACTGGTAGTGAAAATCGGAACGCACCCCTTGTTGTGCCCGCGCAACCGTAACTCGAAGTTTGTTCGCGTCGCATACTCCAACATGTTCCAATATGCTCCTACCATAGTTCTTACTCATTCCAACGCGCTTGGGAGAGTGAGTAGGAGCTATGGTAGGAGCATGTTGGAGCATGTTGGATCTTCCGACGCGGACAAACCTTCGAGCGAACGGGTAAGGACGCGCGCCGTTTCGAGTGATCGTCGCACCAATTATTGTGTGCCTTCCAACAAGCGACACGAATGACACGGTGTGACACAATGGATCATTACGTCCTTGTTGTTTGCCAATGTTAAACAAACATGACATGATCACTGTGTCGCACTGTGTCGCTTGTTGGAAGGCACACATTACTTTTCGCGACGCGATCGCGAGCAGGTGGTTTCTCACGAGCAATTAATTATTATTACACTGCAGTTTCTTAACTTTCACGATAACCGATTCGTAAGACGTGCCGAGACGACGATATTTGTTGCAGCTTGCTTCGTTCGGTCGAGCTCGAAGCAAAAGTCGAAACGATACACGAAAGTGATGGAAATTATAAATTGTTATATACGAATTTAATCACTTTATACTCGTACGTAGATATGTCTGTGTATTTTATTGTATTTCACGATACTTAGGAAAGAGAATTGTTCCTCGCGGATGACTTCGATGTAGCGACGCGGCTTCGATCGTGATTTCCGAATCGAGAACGTGAAGTAAGGCGCGAATCACTCGAGCAGTCGTATGGACAACTATCGAGATGTGCGATCCACTTGTCCGTTTCGATCGATATAGTTTAATTTTAATTTCGATTCAACTATTCATCTTTTTCTAGTTCTAAGAATTAGAAAAAGATGAAGAATTAGTTGAATCGAGATTCAAATTAATCTACATTTATAAAAACGGTAATGCTGCAAACGCTTCCTTGACCAATCAGAAGAAAGAATTTTACGAATTGACCAATCAAACGCTTTAAGTTTGCAGCGTGAAGTGAATCGCACCCGAGTTCGATAAATTGAAGCATTCAGCTCTATTCATACTTCATAGGCCGGTATTCATAGTCAGTTCTTATATTCAAGACCGTCTTAAGTACGATCTTAAGAAGTTACGAACCAATCAGAAAACCGCATTAGCGTCTTAAGACACTACTTAAGACGGTCTTGAAATAAGAATCGACTATGAATACCGGCCATAGTCAGATCTTACATTCAAGACCGTCTTAAGTACAGTCACGAACCAATCAGAAAGCCGTATTAACATAAGCCATTACTTAAGACGGTTTTAAAATAAGGACGGACTATGAATACCACCTTAAGAATGGAATATTCGGCACGCCTTAATTCCATAGGCCGGGGTATCCATAGTCAATTCTTATATTCAAGACCGTCTTAAGTACAGTCACGAACCAATCAGAAAACCGCATTAGCGTCTTAAGACACTACTTAAGACGGTCTTGAAATAAGAATCGACTATAAATCCCGGCCATAGTCAGATCTTATTTTAAGACCGTCTTAAGTACAGTCACGAACCAATCAGAAGGTCACATTAAGATATTACTTAAGACGGTCTTAAAATAAGATCTGACTATGAATATCGGCCATAGTGAGTTGAATATTTTACCTTGACCAAATATTTCGTTTGACCGGCCACGAGACGTGTATGGTGTTTGTTTTCCTTTTCGCCACATGTAGCGCAACGCACCGTTTAGAGTACGCCTTGTTGTTATTCGCGCGGCGTATCTCGAGTGATTGGTAACAACGCGTCCTAATCTAAACTCTCGATCGCGACAAATGCGCATCAAAATTCCAAAAAGGTGCAATCATTTCCATCCAACGACTACTTCGCGATTACGCATCTCCCGCGATTCGTGAATATCAAGGCGACTACCTTAGATATCTTATATGATTAATATCTATTAATCTAATCTACGGCCGCGGTGATTATTTCGTTGTGGATAAGGGAGACGTTTTTAATTATCGGGCAACATTCGTAATCAATCCCGCGTTTCCATACCAGTTAGCTGAATTCGACGTTAGTCTTACATACATGAGTGTCTTCTGTTTCACGCATGATGTATTATTTCATCCTTAATTTGTTCACCGAATATTAAAAAAAGGATAAAACGATATAAGAATGCATATCATGCGTGAAACAGAACGCATCTCATTTAACCTGCCTTTTTGCTTTAACTTATATCGCGAGTGAGATCGAAACCCAAAGCCATCTTTGTATCGAATGTTCTTTTTCGCATTGTTCTTCTACGACATAACGAAGTATATACGAGTGCGGGATTAACGACGAAAGTATCGTATAAAGTATTGAGCGATCGTGTGTGTGTGTGTGTGTGTGTGTATGCACAAGGATGGAATCTGGAGGCCCGGGAGACATCAGACGACGGTGGAGCAACCGTGAGGTAAATATTATTTATTATTTTATTTTTTACCTCTCTGTAAGAAATTAATATAATTTATATTTTCTGAAATTCTCTTATTATTTTCAGCGTTGCTAAAATTTTGATATATTTATATTTTATAGATCAACGTAGACGCAACTCCACCGCTACGCATTATCTCTGTGAGTGACAAATTATACTTTAATTCTTTTAATTGTGTAAAGGTGATGAATCTGTGAAAAAATTATACACATAAAATGCAGAAGAGTATATATACTCCAGGCTAAAAGTTTGAAAATATTAAAAATTGACATTTTTGAAGTTATTTATATTCAAATATCCATAACAATATATTTTTTAACAATAATTCTTTAGATTCAACAATTGTTATTGAATTTGAAGGATTTATATTGTTAAAAAACATATTGTTATGAAACTTGAATAAATAATTCCCCTAAAATGTCAATTTTTAAAAAGTATTTTCAAGCTTTTGGCCCGAGTCTATATACATATAAATATTATATTATAAATGATACATGAATATATACATAGATGCATGTATGTACATGAATGTATTATATATGTACATATGAATATATATATTTCAATTGGATGTGTGATATAAGTATATAAAAATAATGCAGATACAATATTTCACAGATCTCTCTATTTACTATCTTTCATATATATATAATTGTTAGGTTAATAATTCATCCAAATTAAATTGCCATTAGAAAAAGTTGAATGTTAAAAAAATAGTAGTTGCTTTTTCACAGATTCATCTTTCATTTTTCATATGTAATTATTAGATTGATAAGTAATTCAAATTAAATTACAGTGAGCTTTATTTAAAAAGTTGAACGTTAAGAAAATAACCAAATGCAAATAATAGGAGTGCATTTGGCTATTTCACAGATTTATCTTCCATTTATCATATGTAATTGATAATTTATCCAAATTAAATTATTTTTTCGCTTAAAATGCTTAAATTATAAAAAGGAAAACGTTAAAAAAACAGCCAAATAATTGCACAATGTCTAATAAAATTCGCTAGTTTCCGTAATATCCCACGAAACAGAGTAGTCGATCCTTCGTGCTCCATAGTTCCCAAAAGTTGCATCCGGCACTTCGTAATTTCCCAGTGCCGTCTCGGGGAAGACGAAGGGTGACACGTGACTTACCCCATCATCGTGGCACACCGGCGCGGCCGTTCGGAATGTTTTGACAGGGGGTGGGTGCGGCGCGTGGCGCATAGCTGTTTGTAAAACATCACCGGCTCCTTTATCGGCGACGATATTAAGCGGCGCGTGGGTCACGCCGGACCGCCTCGGCCATTGTTCGCATTGTCGCGGCTCGATTGCCGAGGAGAATGGGTAGCGATGTTGTACGAGAGGTAAAGGGGGGAGTATTGTCGACGAGGCGCCGTCGTGATTTCCCTGTATCCCGCGATAATCTAATTGAAAATAAATCCCTCGGTAACCGAGATGGACAGCGATAACCCCTCTTCCTCTGCCATTACGAGGGTTAGAGATAGCATTCTTTAGTCCAAATCGGTATGCAACTGATTGCAGAAATAAAATCAGTGAGATCTTCATTACACTGAAAAAAATATACTAAATTTTAATAAATTATTTTTATTAAGTATATATATATATCAATTAAATACTTTCTAAATATAAGGATATGTTTATTTGATACAAGAAAATTATTATAATTTAATTTAATTATTTTTTTATTGAATAAATATTTAAGGCTGTATCTGAGATACAATCGTTGACAAAAGTCCCCCAAATTCGAAATATTTGCATAATTGCGCCAAACGTGTAGTAAATCTAGTGACAA